GCGCGCCGTGGCTGCCGAGCTCTGGGCCAGAGCCCTTCCCTCAGAGATAAGCAGTCTGAACGAATGCAAGGTCTGGGAGAGAAGAGGCTTACAAAATCCTCCTGGGTGACCAGGGCTGATGGTCCATCACCCTAAAGGCTGGCCCTGGCTTCGGCTTCAACCTTTTCTGGTTTCACCTTCTGCCCACTTGACGATACTCACAGACCAGAGAGCCCCCGCAGTCTGACATTGCTTCTCTAAACGCCTGCAGGCTGCGATGCAGTTACCCCCGGGCTCCTCCTCCAGCTCTGCAGCTGGCCCGCTATGCTGTCCAGTTCCCCTTCACCTCGATGCCTCCGCGTTCATTTGTGGTTTAAGGAGAGTAAGCTAGTAAGCCCTTGCTGTGCTGGCTATGGGCATTAGATATGGAGTAGTTTAATTTGGAAGTCCTGATGGATATACTCGATATTGGGAGCTTAATGTGTTTTTATATTTAGCACTGGTACTGCGACTATTCTAATCTTCTTAGTGAAATTGTGTACAAAAGGGTACGATCCATATAATGAGGTGAAACAGGCAGTCTCACTGGGAAAACAGTCTGATGCAAATGTAAATTATAGGCCTCTCATTACTCTAGTAAATGACCCTATTTAAAATGTAGCCTTTTTCTCCGCAGCAGGAGCTGCTGGGATTGCAGAAAGGCCCCAGACGAGAGGACGGCCCGCCTGTCCGGCAGCAGCAGGGGCTGTCTTTTCCCCCCCCCCCCCCCCCCCCGGTCGCGTTTCTAGCGTGTCGTTCACGATACCAGTTCTTGTGTTGCAACCGCCCAAGTGCACGGACGTTCTGCGGCATATTTATTACTGTTCCTGTGACTTTCAATGCCCTGATCAGACTTAGGATTATTACAGGTTGAGAATAGCGAGTTGGAAAACCAAATCTTTGTCTTTTAAAGCCAAAGAGTGCTATTAAATCATTGAATCTGGTTATTTCACAACATATTCTATATTCCATCCGGTCACTTGTGGAACAAGCTTATTAACATTTGCTTTAAAGTATGTGGTATCTTATGGAGAGGCATCTCTTTGTGAAAACATCAGGTGAGTGAGGATTCATCATTTAGCAGTTGTTCCAATCACAGCGTTATAGTTGCTGTTAAACTGGTGATAGGATATAATTTCCCTCCTAGTTTAAGGAGGACACTATGCATATAAAAGTTGGACCTAAATCTAGAGATTTTATCAAGAATAGAGTGGGGTTTTTTTTTTCCCCTTTTTAAATGTACTGTCTCAAGGTAGGGGTAGTAGGGACCCTGTTTTTGCATGCTAATTAATGCTGCATTGCACATGGTGCGGGAGTGAGTGGTATCAGATCCTCTTCCATCATCCATCTTCCTCTCTGTTTCTTGAATAGGATGTAATCTGTAAAGGAAGTAACGCAGGAGGTGGAAGCAGAGGTTTTAAATAGCTACATACTGGACAGGAGTCAGAAAGACACCTTCTCTTTCCAGAACTGCAGTCCAAACTAAATTGTAGTCCTTTTTGCTTCTCCAATTTATTCCACTTAAGCTGTTATGATGTTGCTGATGTGAGCTTTTTATGTGGCATGCAGAAGTCTCTTGAGACACCACAGTGGGGATATAGAATAATGGTAGTAATCACTGTCAGTCACGCAGCCAGTTTTGTCAGTGTTTCAGAAATTAGGAAAGACAGGGAAGTGTTGTGAGGTTAAATAGCAGAGCCTGTAAACTATATTGCAAATGGAAATAGAATGCTATGTAAAAATACTTGCTCAATTAAGGGTAGCTTGGAGTATAATTTGTAATTTTATCCGTGGTTCTGATTTGTAGCATGAACCAGATGTAAAAGTTGTTCTTTATGGGATTGTTAGAATTGAATTTCCAAAATGTTTTGGAACATTGTCAGCCTTCTCATACCGATGCTGAAGCTGGAGGAGACGTTGTTGTCTTAAACCTAGAAGCAAATGCCTGGCTATCTCTCATTCCTGCACCGCCTTCCAAGTCTGCTGGCAGCTTTTCTACAAGTGGACAATTTTGCTTTGCCTTTGTAGAGAGATAGCAGCCTCAGAAATACCTAAGAGTATATATATTTCACAAAACAACTACAGGTTTTGTGAAAATAATGGTGTCTTCTTTGAGAGGACTTTTCAGCACTAACTCTATGTGGACACAAGGGAGTTCGCATTGCTAAACGTTACAAGGACTGAAGTAGATGAAAACTTCATCCGGAATGTGCACTTTCCATAGATAGGTGAATAATTTTCCAGCCTAAGAAAGCATATAGGTGTTTATTAGGGACATTTTCCTGTGTTACTTTAAGGTATTTTCACAGCACACTGTGGAATATTTTTTTTTTTTCCCCAGTGTTTGCTGTAGGAAAAACAATAACGGAAGGTCTGGCTAGCTTTTGGTCAAAAATGGTTTTGTAGCTGTTTTTGAAAAATTTGTGCATGCTCACAAAGTTTTAAGATAATCATATCCATTGTCTGCTTCGATAACCTACTTTTATAGCTTTTTTTCCCTTCGTCCTTTTCTCTTTGTCTTTAACCCCTTTGATAGGTTTTCTTTATGTCCTTGGATCACTTCTGTTCAGTAGGTTTCTTCTTCGTACTGATTCCTACAGCATTCTTCAGATTGCAAAGTATGATGAAAACGTTGTGCTATGTGAACAACTGGTAATTTTTGTCCATGAGTATTTCTTCATTTAGTTAAGTGACACTTACTAATAAGTGACACTTATTGTGGATGTGCTTTTTTGCAGTCAAAATTCGTGTAACAGATTAACCTCTATCATATGATAGGAAGGAATCAGAGAAGAAGCTTATGTATATACAGTTGGTTTTCTTGGGGTGTTGGGGTTTTTTTGTGTTGTGCTGTTGGAGGCCATCTCTCCTGTGACATTTGGAAAACAATGCTGTTAAGAAGGCCTCGTGTTGTGTTTCTCTGATGTCTCAGGAGGTTTCTGAAGCTGGGACTTCTTTTGCTGCCTGTCCCTGCTGGATCAGCCTTTGGTTGTGCCAGCAGCGGGCAGTAAGCCCCCGTGCTGATTCTCTACTGACTGCCAGTATTCATGTCCCAACTTTAGGGCTCCCTAAGCACATCTCTGTGGTGCAGATCCTTGTGGACTATCAGCATGCTTCAACTGTTGGAGCAACATGTTGGCCTTTTCCTCGTGAATTTTGTCTTCCAACACCAGACGGGCACAACATAAAAAAACTGTTTTTTCCTCTCTGTAAAAACTCGTGATAAAGCTTTTAGAGTTACACAAGAATGGTTTGGAAACAAGGTTGAAATTAAATAGTAGGGCACAGTTCAAATCTGTACTTAACAAGGTGTTCCTCTAGTAGCCTTGTTGTCTCACCGAGACATGACGTTCGTGTGGTGTTAGCTAGCTGGGGACGCTGTTCTTCGGAGTGACCATATCGCGGGCAGTCTTCCTGATCCTAGAGATTAATCCTTTGTTTCTGTCTGTACATACATTAGACTTGACCTCATGCTCACTTTTTGAGGCAAATGTAGCATCACTGGCTTATGCTTTGTACTGTCGTCGTATTTCAGCTTTTCTCTTTATTCTTTTCTTTACCTGTCTTCATCTTCCACTCAATTTAATTTTTTGGAACAGATCTTAAACATTACATCATAAAAAGTATTTAATTGTGCATATGTTTCACTAAGCCTATGGCTTCCTGTATGGTTGCAGCTTTTGATGGAGACCACACACGATGAGACACCGTATTAGAACAGATGGCAGACTAAAGAATAAGGTGCTTTGCCCAGACATGGGCCTTCAGGGAAAATTCTGCATGTTTACTATCAGCTGTTGAAGTTCCTGGCTTGCAGTTGTATTGCTTTGGAAAGCGCTTTCAGTGTATAAAGCCTTCAGCTCTCCACATGCAAATACTGTTGTGTCTAGGCATATTTTTAGCATTTTTGGGAATCTAGCAACAAAATAGCTTCTGTGAAGCAGATTCATGTATTTTACTCACTATAAATACCTTTCTTTTTCAGATGACTGCAAAATGGACATAGATAATAAACGAAACAAAAAAACTCTTCTAGACCAGCATGGACAGTACCCGATATGGATGAATTCCAGGCAGAGAAAGAAGCTTAAGGCACAGCGTGTTAAAGGGAAAAAAAAATCAAAATTGGCCAAAGGTCTAGCCTGGTAAAATAGGAGTTTTGTAAGATCGTGAATATTTTACTTGCAAAATAAATATCCCAGATAAGTACATGATAATTTTGTGCTTGGCCACCGAGTATAATTTATTGTGTTGCATGAACTTTTGAAGAGACTGTTAGGCCAGCGAATGATGAAAGCAATATCAACTTGGTGTCTGCTGAACTTATACAAAAAGCAAGCGGAGTGCCTTTGAATAGACTTAAGTGTCTGTGGTTATCTGTTTTCTTGAGGGGGGAGGGTCTTCATCTTTTATATTCTGAACACTGAAAATGCTAAAGGAAATCCTAAAAATAATGAAACTGTAAATGTTTTTTTGTACTGTGGTCTTTGTCAAGGTAACTTGTCTTTTAGTAAATTTAACCAAAGGATTCTGTAAACTCACCATATCCTTTAAATTTTTCTGTAAAATTACTTTTGTTGCACCGATTTGTGTTGCTTTTAATATCTGGTAATTAATGAAAACGGGCTTGTAACATGTAACTGAAATCGACACCGAGACTTCATGAGACTTCTATAAGTAAAAAGACAAAGTGCCAGTCTGACTTTAATTCGCAAAGAGAAAGCTGTTGGAAGAAAGAAGTACTTTCCTGCTGTCTGCAACTGAAATATTGTAGGAACTAAATAGCTGAAAGTAAAACTGATTCTTTTATTATTAATATGAGAGAATGCAAATGCACAGATTGGAAATAAAATAGTTTTATTTAAGACATTTTCCAAATTTTAGTAAAGTAAATGAGAATTTACTTTTCCATATGTATTTTCAGTAGCCTTTTATTCCTCTTAAAATGGTACTCATCTATCATGCTTTACAATGTGGGCATAGGATAAAATATTGCATGACTGCGTAACAGATGCCATTTATATGTGATTAGCTACAGTTGGTTGCATATTACTCGGCAATAAGATGTGATGACAGATGCAGGAATTAGTTGCCCTGAAAGCTTGTGTTTTTAAAATGTCTCTCATTTCAAGGATGGAAATAATTACGGTACCAGTCCTGCAGTATGTTGCCTGTTGAAGTACCATTCATCGATACAGAGCGTAACCTTTGTCCAGCTTCATCAGAGACGGGATCCGAGTTCTGTAATTGCCCACAAATTGTGATGTGTGTCTGTTGTGATAACTTGGGCATAGGAAATAGGATTTATTCTTTTAAAAGTAATTACACTAGCTTATACTGTGCTAAAATCAGAGAGAAAATTTAGTTTTTCTGGAAAAATACGGTGGATTTTTTTATTATTATTGTTAAGGGAAAAGTATTCTGTTGCTCAGGTAAAGAACTACAGAGGTGTTGGAGGAAATACCAATGCATCTTCTGTTTTCACATACATTGACAGTTAATGAGACTTGGTAAGATCTATAGATCAAAGTTTACCAAATTATATGCCATTAATAACTTTGTACTTTATAAATATTTCCATTAAGTTGATAATACCCCTGCTAGAAAACAGATGCTGCTCTCAATTTTTTTGTTTTATTAGACAAATGGCTCTAGATTTCAGTATCAAATACGCTAGCATTTAGATTAGTATTTTAAAATTGATTAATATGGAGGAAAGTGTTCTTTAAGGTTCATAATTATGTTTATCCAGAAATTGAACAGAATGAACAGTCAGTTTATATTTCTTTACTATTTTAATGACATAGACTATATTTTGCTTACTGTGTGCTTTGGGGAGTTGTGGAGGGGAGCTTCTTGGGTTTAAGTGCGAACAGTTTGGGTTTTTTCTGTAGAGTAAGAACAGTGCCATTTTTGACATCCTTGTTTGTTAATCGGATTACTTCCAAGCAGCTGCTGGTGGGAAAGCAGACTGCTTTTCCTGAGGGGAGATAATCAAACTGGCAAAGTACTCTGAGTGTACGTCTTCACAGTCAGTTTCTTTTAATTCTTCAGGTGTGCAGCCATACTCTGTCTCTCATCTTAGTCAAGGCTGCCACCGCTGTGCTTGCCTTCTCTCCCTCTCCCTCTCCCCAGTTGTTCCAGTTCTGCCTCTGCCCCTTCCTCTATAGGAGAAAATTATCTGCACAGCTGAATACTCTTTCTTATTTCTGCTTTTATGACCTAGCCCTGAGCTTTGTTGCACAAATTTATTAGCCTGCTGCTTTTGTGACCAGATTAGGGATTTGAATCTCAAATGAGAGACAGGAAACACTGCAGTGATCTTTTATTTAGCAGTTTTATCTACCGGCTGACACGATACTGGCTGTGTGAGGTATTTCTTTTGTGGTGTCCAGGATAAAGTCAAACAGGTTCACTGAAACTACAGATACTTTAAGATATCCTGTTTGATTTTTGAGCTGCAACAGAGGATGGGAAAGGAATAAAGCCTAGCCTTTACATGAAGGCAGCTCTTAGTCTAGTACTGATCAACTCACTCAGGTGCGGCAGCCCTCTCTCCGGGCCAGGAAGGATTTTGAGAGCCCGGTTGGGTGGGATCTGTAATCCAGGCTGAAGGCTCGCTCGTAGGCAGACAGCAGGAACCTGGCTAAATGTGCAGCACGGATGTAACCTCAGAGGTTGAGTCACAGATGCAGCAGGGAAGCTTTCCCTTCTAGGATTTCAGCATATACTATATATGGATATTGTAATTTTGTATTTGGAATTTGCTTTAGATCTGCTTTGAGCAGCTATTTTTGAATGTGAATACTACCTTTTTAGTCACTGAATATTCAATTTACATCGCTGAATCTGAACCACATTCTTTTTGATCAGTTGATGAAAAAAATCATTCTTGTTTCTTTACAATAGAAGGTGAATTTAAACATACTAGGTTTTGGCTGAAATACATGTTTTTAAAGCCCGTAGAGGGATTTCCAAAGAAGTAAGCTATCTGCCTCTAAACAACATTCTAATTATATCATAATTTGTGATCTTTATCTAACATTTTTTTTTAAAGTTGTGATGGGGGAGAAGAGTTTGCAGTTGATTAAACAAACCGATGGAAGTCTAAAATTGTATAGCTGAAATGGCATCGGCAGAGGTGGCCGTTTTTTGAGTAACTGTGCTATTATGAAACTGCTTTGCTGAAACTTTCTACTACTGTAACTGCCACCTGCCCGCAAAGTGCTGTGGTAGCTGTATTGCATGGACCTGTGAAAGGTAGGGGAAATAGCGTAGGCGGTTTTGAACTACAAGCATAAATGCCAGAACCGAAAGAATTAAATATCGTCATTTTATTGAGATGTTTGTGTGTATAAAGTGTGTGTGTATACAGTACAAAATCTGCATTAGCAAATTGCTAAATGTCCTGCAGATTGTTGGCAGTTTCCTGAGAAGACGGCAGCGTCCGCCCTTTTTGACACAGTATGCAGGACTTGGGTTTTAAAGTGAGTTATTTCAGATGCCTGAAATAACCGGTGGTGGTGGTAGTGCCGTTCCTGGGCTCTTCTGGTAACTCGCTCCTGCTCTGGGACGCCTTTTCTGCGTTGTGTAGTCAAGTGGGCTGGGGAACTAATCTAGGTGAGATACACTGAAAATACTCCTGGTTTTTCCCCAGTTTTTTGGTTTTGTTGTTTTTTCAGCTGGATCAGTTTCCAGCCTTACTCTACAAAAAGTGGTGTCAGTCGGAGGCAATACAAGACTGGGAACAAATAGGTGGTGAAGGCAGGGCTGGGGGAGGCAGTCCTCTCGCGTAAGCGCTGCCATGCTGAGCTATGTTCTCATGTGCCACCTTTTCTCCTATGGCGCTACCGGCTTTTTCTTCATGCAGCCACCGTGCAGTACAGCATTTAGAAGATGGGGAGAGGTTCTGGAGATTAGGTCAAGCAAATGCGTTGAATAGTGATTTTGAAAGTTTTATTCAGTGGAGGATATAGTATTAGAATATTGAGGTCAATATTCTTTCTTACAGTCCCCGTTAAGTTTTGCTGTAACACTCAGACCACGTAGGCTCCAGGGGTGCGTGTAATCAGCTGCGAGCTTTTACATATTCTTTCAGTTCGCTTTATCTTTGGCTTTATCTGCAGCTGACGCTGTGGTTATAGAGTAGACTAAATCTGGTTTGGGGATGTCTAGTACCGGAGGAAGAATGTCATGGCCACATGATGCAAAGTGCTCCTCTGATACGTGGTCACAGCTTTTGTTTAAAAAAAAAAACAAAAGCAGCCCTCCTTTACCTATACAAAGGCTTTATACTGTACGTCTGTTTCTAGTATGCTACCTTTTCCTCCAGCAGCCTAAAGAGTTGTTTGGGTTCTAGTGAATTTGACAGAAGCTGGATGTGTGATCTGTATCAGATTTGCAGTGCGGATTTGGCTGGTATTAATAGGACTACAGCCTTAGCGTTGCAGAAATCCGAGAGGTGCAAAGCAACCTGTTCCTCTGAGTGGCATGGTCTTAATTGAGTTATGGCAGTGGTGGGGATGAGTAGAGCTTGAAACAATAGCTATGAATTGCTCTCTTCGGGGTTTTGCCATCAATTTTAACTTATATAAGGGTGAGGTTTCGGGGGGGACTGAGCCATCTGATAGCTCACTGCTGCAGGAAGAGGCTCTTCTTTTCAGCTTTTTCCCCTCCCTTCTCCAGCTGCACTGCCCAATTCATGATTTACTGCTTCAAGACAAAGAGACGTTGGTATTTCTTTTTTTTTTTTTTTCCTGAGCTAAAGGTGGGAGAGAACTGATGACTTTCTTCCATTTAATAAGCACTACACAGTTGTGACGAGCCCCCCATGCCCACTGTCCTTTTACTCTTCATACACTACTCCAGGGTTCCAATTTCAACTTTCCCTTATCACTAGCAACAGTATTCAAAGGAAAAGAGAAGGCAGAATGGGAAGAGGATGATTTTTGTGCTGCCCCCTCTCTTCCCAATCACTTTAACGTCACTCTCACAGGTCTCTTAATTTTTCTGATGCATGTATATCGATATAAAAGGGCTGAAATGTTAGAAACAGTATGTGGCATGGCATCAGAGGGTTGTGTGTCAGGGGTCCCACCCACAGTAGCGTGAGGACTGCTTTATGAAGGGCTCATATACTGAGAGCAAGCAATCAGTGACTTGTTTTCCTCCGATTTCAATCTAGTCAACTATTCAGGAGATGATGAAGGTTGTGAGTTATATTCTGGTTTGGTAAACTATTATTTAGCATCTTTGCCCTCTAATTGCAGTTAATTTTCTTGCAAGGCTTCTAAAGTCTGGATGTAGATTTTATAGCATTTTTGAACTTCTGCTTTTAACTAGAAATTGGGTTTGTGGA